TATAAATATATATATGTATTTTTATGATTGTATTAACTTTGTATTGTGTGAGGTTGTTCTCTACTGCACATCGGCTTTCTAATAAAGGTAAAAAGAAAATCATTTTATTTCTTTTACACAAGGTCAAGTTTATGTTTTCTCACTTTTCTCAAATGTTTTATTTTCTGATAAAATTCTGAAATGTCTAAACTTCCTGCTGTGGATCCACACTTTCAGTGGAAACAATCTGACTGATGTTTAATTCATTAAGGGCCGATTCTGCTGATGAAGCACACACAATAAAATGCAGCAGACTCTGCATGACTCCTGTTTGTGCAATGCAGAAATGTGTCACTGTGGAGAAATGTCCTCACAGCGTAGAAATGTCCTCACTGTGGATAAATGTCCTCACCATACAGAAATGTCCTCACAGTGCAGAAATGTCCTGATAGTGTCGAAATGTCCTCACGAAACAAAACCCCCCTCCAACAAACACACACAGGATGGAATGCTCACACACTGGAAGCTCCTCCTCCTCGATGCTGCAGTGTGTTTCAGTGTTTCAGATCAGAGCTGCAGAGACACAATCCTGAACTGATTTGGACTACACCAGGTTCTGTGTCTCAGACTGGGATCTGCAGGTTCTTCAGGGTTCTCTAAGTTATGGACTGAAGCTTGAACATGAGGAGAGGAGAACGCAGTCCAACCTGAGGAGGAGAAAAGATTCAGAGCTGCTGAGCAGGTAAAAAAAACAAAAAAGAAAACACTTATCTTTTCACAATAAAAGCCTTTTTGAGAGACAGCAGGGTGTTAGTGTCTCAGTCAAGTACAAAAACCTCAGTTTTGTCAGAGTTTAGAAGTAAGAAATTACAAGTCATCCAGCCTTTATATCTTTAAGACATGCTTGAAGTTTGACCAACTGATCTGATTCTGGGTTCAGAGATAAATATAACAGAATCATCTCCATAGCAATGGAAAATTAGGCCGTATTTCCTGATAATATTGCATAAAGGGAGCATGTAAAAGTGAATACAAGAGCCCTGTGGAATGCCACGACTAACTTTAATCTGTGTGGAAGATTCATCATTAACATGAACAAACTGGAATCTTCCTAAATAAGATTTGAACCAACTTAGTGTGGTTCCTTTAATCCCAATAACATGTTCAAGTCTCTGTAATAAGATGCTGTGATCAATGGTGTCAAAAGCGACACTGAGATCCAAGTATAGAAACAAGTCGTTTGTCTGGGGCTAGGAGGAGATCACTGGTGACTTTCACCAGTGCAGTTTCTGTACTATGATGGACTCTGAATCCTGACTGAAAAATCCTCAAACATCCTCCTGTGCAGATGGTCACATTACTGCTTTGCAACAGCTTTTTCAAGGATTTTAGAAATAAAGAGGAGACTGGACATCGGTCTATAATCAGCCAGAACACCTGGGTCCAGAGTAAGCTTTTGGAGTAGAGGTTTAATTACACAGATAGCACAACAGGCGCCATGTTAGCACCATGGATGTATTAAGGAGACCTGGATACCAGACTGCAAGATGGTGCCCATTCTTCCCACTGAAAGTTGCTCCCTTGGTGCACATCCCCAAAAACCTTGTCTTCCAGGTTTAAGTACACATTGTGTCACCCACTGCATATGCTCAGTAATGT